CCGTCGGGGCGAGGGCGATGGTCTCGATGTCCTCCCTGCGCGGATTGGTGAGGCCCAGGATGCGACATACCCCCCTCCGCTTCTCCCGAAGCTGTTCGCACCAGGTCGCGGCGAGCTCCTCCCAGAGGCTGTACACGTAGTCCGCGGGGAAGGCCACGTCGTCCTCTTCGTAAGCAAGACGCAGGGTCTCCAAGGCCCGGCGCCTCTCCGGTTCGTGCATACGCCCGTAGACCAGCCCGAAGACGGCGATGGCGTTCTCGGCCTGCCTCACCCACTGGGAGAAGACGACTGGGTGCCGAGGGCGCGGCTCGAGCGTGCACGAAGTGGGCACGGTGCAAGCGTCGAACACCTCCGCCTTGCAGCGGGGGAAGTCCGCCACGGAAACCGACCACTCGGCCAGGTCTTTGTGGCCCCGACCTCCCCAGCAAAAGGCGGCGATGCCGTATGCCATCCTGTTCGTCACCGTGGTGGGCCAGTTCACCGCCTGCATCACGTGCTTGGCATGCTCGCAGGCGCGCTTGAGACCGTGGAACAGCTCACGCCCGGTCAGCGCGCCGCAGACCTCCACGTCAAGGGTGTCGCAGCCTCGGGCCAGGTATACGTCCAGCTCCTCGGCTCGCCCGACGGCGCCGAGGATTCCCCGCTGTGCCACCTTCTCCTCCTCACCAGACCTGCGTAGGCTGTCCACCGCCTGCAGCAACCGCATGTTGTCCAGGTGTTGCTGCTCTTGGCCATTCTGGAGAACTCGCGCGTAGGTGGCGATGGCGGCCGAGGGGTCGCTCTCTCCAGCTCCTGCGGCGCACCTCCGATCGGGCTGCCCTGGGGGCTTGACCAGTCCCCCCTGTCCGTAGGCACCTCGGTTGGTGAACATCTGCCCGAGGTTCGGGACAAGGCCGGGCATCAGGCCCGGAGGGGTAAGGCGCGAGGCCCCCGGTACTCGCACGCCAGGCGGGGTGGCCGGAGGCGGTAGGGGCGGGGCACTCGCTGCTGGGTCTAGCCCAGGGGGGGCCACGGGCTGGCTGGGCTCCTGGCTGGTGTCGGGGCGGCGCTCGGCGTCGAGCTTCAGGAGGCCGCTGGCAAGCGGCGGGCTCACGCTCTCGTCCCTCTCGGCCCGAACGCGCTCCAGCATTCTTTCCCATCGGTCAACATGTGTCTGATAATTGGCTTGCTCATCGGCTCCGCTGTTGCGCGTGAGGCGCTGAGTGTACTTGATAAGATGCTCCTGGGCGACGGTGATGTCCTCGTCGTACCCGGCCGCAACGCTCTGCAGCGCGGAGGCGTCATCTGACCCTCCTTCATGAGCTGCGAGATACAACCCCAGCATGGCCTCCCCGGCGCCCTCTTCTCCGGGGGCCTTCCCAGGGCTGCGGGGGGAGCGGCGGGGGGCGGAGGGGGCCCGATCGCGTTCCTCGCCCAGGCCCCACCCAACGCCAAAGGGTGGCTTGGGGGAGCTGCTGCGGTCGAGCCTCGCCCAGTGCTTCTTGAGCTGCGCGTCCATCCCGTCAGAGATGGGCTGCGGTACGCCACTGGCGTCGCCCGAGGCACCGGCTGGATGCCGGCAAACAAGTAGGTAGGTCGCCTCGAGCTCGGAGTTGGGCCCACTGGGGGCGGCTGGTCCCCTTGGCCTTCCCGCCCACGGGGACTCCGTTCCAGGGGTGCAGCTTCTCCCACACGAATTAGCTCACGACGATGCCGTGCACGCTGATCCCCAGCTCCTCCGCCCCGAGCGGCGGGTGGCGCAAGAGCTCCTCGAGGTAGCCGGTGGGGAGCTTGCCCTGGTCACTGGTGGCGGGGGCGTGCTCGATCCCCGCAGTCTTGAGGGCGAAGCAGATTTGCTCGAGGTCTCCCGGGGAGCAGTCCTCACTGCGCGGCTCCTCGACGTCTACCACGGTCATGCTGCCGTCCCCCAGCGTTCCTTCCCCGAGCCTTGACTTGCCCAAGAACACGATCCACTGCGGGCCGGCTGCCCACTGCACCCGAACTCGCAGCACCAGGTGATCGCTCTGGTCGACCTCCTCGCTCGGGGCGGGGCTGGCACCCCGCGGCAGGGGCACCCTCGGTGAAAGTGATGCCTCAAACCGACCGCTGGCAGGCGGGCCCCGTGGTGTAGACGGCGTGTCGCGAAGGGACGGGCCCGGCGCTGCCTGCCCACGGTGGCTCTCAAGTCCACGAACTCCGTCTGCTGGGGGGGCTGCTGCTGCAGGGGTTCCAGGCTCGCGCGCCCGAAGGCTGCGGCTGCGGACCACCCGACGCCTTAAGCCTGAGAAAAGCCCGCGGTTCGGGGTTGTAGCAGTGGCCCGCGCTGCCCTGCCCGCCTCTCCGCCCAGGTGAAGGAGACAAAGTGGTACGCCCTCAGCGTTGCCGACCGCCTGGCGGTAGCAGGTCACCTGGGAGCACTTGTCACGATACCGAGAGGCCCAGTAGACCTGCGAATGATGAGCACAAAGATGGGCGAAGGAATTCCTCCCGTCGCTGGGCGGCGGGAGATCCGAGGCTTGTCCGTCTTCCATGAGCAAGGTGGTTGGCTCGGCCTCTGCGGCGTCACGGCAGCCGTCCGGGGCCAAGGGGCGGGCGCCTCCACGAAGTACAATGCCCACCCGAACTGCCTCACAGGGCTTGTCCTCGGCCTCCACTTCTGACTCAGATTCCTGATCGAGGACTTCTGCGACACTTCCTGCAACGCCTGGCTCCGCAGCGCCTGTCTTGCGACGGCGGCGGCGCCGGCAGCAGAAAGAGCAACCGCAGGACAAGATGCCATACGTGAACACAATGATCCTCCATGTGCCGCGCCCAAGATCGGTGAAGGCTCACCAGAGTAGGAAGATGCCGCGGCAGGAGGGGAACTTGGCATGGAAGCCGATGTCCACGATCGCCTCGGAGTCCAGCGCGGCGTATTCTTTGCAGTGGATCTCTCCAGGCCGATCCCGACAGGTCATGTTGCGGCACAGGTGGATCGAGCGGCCCTCGAGCATCTCCAGCTTCTGGCGGAGTGCATGTGAACTGGCCCCTTTCACGCTCAGGTAATCCACCCAGAGGCCCGTCCGGTCGATCCGCTTGGGCTCCGCAAGGTCGATCCTCACGCGGGCGACATGGTCGTCAATCTTGACCAACACGTCGTTGGGCCTCCTCCCTGTCCCACGACCCTTCACCTTCTTGCTGTAGTATTCGGTGGTCGTAGCAGGTCCGGTCTCTGGCCCCATCCAGTGGATCTGGGCAAGGGCAGGCGGAGCCGGCGGCAGGTACCTTTCGGCAGCTGCATCGCCAGGCTCTCGCCGGCGGCACTTGACGCACCGCGCCAGAAGACCGATCAGCCAGAGGGCGGCGGCGCATTGGGCCAACAGCGTCCGACAAATGTGGGTGAGGAAAGCGAGCACCGCGAGGAAGGCCAGGAAGATGAACGTCCACGCCACGACGGGCCAGGCAGCTCCGAAGACCGTCAAGCCCAACTTCTCGAGTGCGTAGAAGAACCAGCCGCCGTCCCTGGTCAGCCAGCCCGTCTCGGCGTGGGTCGAGAAGGCGCTCCCGAGGCTGTCCAGCTTCTCGTACGCGCCCCCGCCCATGCCGCTCAGGCGCCAGGCCCGGGTGCCTTCACCCAGAGGCCTCCATCCCAGCGCCCAGACGCCCCAGCCGCCAATCCATGATTCCCCGTCACGGAGGCCGCCGGTGGCGTTGCTGCTGTTGTCGACTCCTCCGGCGGCTTGGGTGGGCGGCGGGGGAGGCGCACCCGGCGGCCCGCTGTCGGGCGGCGCCTGGGTGCTGCCAGCGGGCCTCGGCTGGGCTGGCCCACCCGGCACGGGCCGCAGCGGTGCTGAGTAGCCCGCGCCAGTCGTAGGCGGTCGCGCCGGCAGCCAGCGCGACCAGCCCGCGTGTGGGGCCCGCCGGCACCAGGCGCCAGGCGGCCATCGCACGCGCGCTTCCGGGCGCCCAAGGGGCGCCCAGACCTCCTGAGGTCGGCTCCAGGGCTTTGAGCCCCGAAGGCTTGAGCGGGAGAGAGGGAGAGAGAGGAGCAAGCAGAGGCAAGGGCAGGGAGAAAGAGGAAACCCAAGCCGACTGGGGAGGGCGGGGTCCAACCGTTTAGGACAAACAACTAAGTTTGAGGTTGGAGGAGGAGGGGGAGGAGGAGGAGGAGGAGGAGGAGGAGGAGGAGGAGGAGGAGGAGGAGGGGGAGGAGATAAGAGGAGGTAGGAGGTAATTAATTAGGTGGAGGAGCAGGAGGAGGAGAAGGTAGGAGGTATTGTTTTAGGAGGAAGAGGAGGCAGGAGGTAGGAGGTATGAGGAGCTAGAATAATTAGTTGGAGGAGCAGGAGAAGATAGGAGGTAGGAGGAGGAGGTAGAGGTAGGAGAAGGAAATCGTCGTCGCCGTCGCCGCCGCCATCGTCTGACCAAGATCCGCTCACTGAACCCCTGCCAGGGGCCGCCCAGACCAGCTTCCCGATCTGCGTCCAACCGCGGCGGCGGCGAGAACCTCTTGAAACGCCCCCTAAAAAAACAACGAAGGCGACGGCGGTGACGACTACGAGGAGGAGGAAAACAAGGAGAAATAAGAGGAGGACGAGGATGGGGGGAGGAGGAAGAGGAAGAGGAAGAGGAGGAGGAGGAGGAGGAGAGGAAGGAGTAGGAGGAGGGGGAGGCAGGGGGAGGAGGAGGAGGAGGAGGAGGAGGAGGAGGAGGAGGAGGAGGAGGAGGAACGAGGAGGAGGAGGGAGGAGGAGGAGGAGGAGGAGAGGGAGGAGAGGGAGAGGTAGGAGTAATAAGGAGGAGGAGGAGGAGGAGGAGGAGGAGAGAGAGGGAGGAGGGGGAGAGGAGGAATAGGAGGAGGAGGAGGAGAGAAAAGAGGAGAAGGAGGAGGAGAAAGAGGAGGAGGAGGAAGGAGAAGGAGGAAAAGGAGAGAGGGAAGAGGAGGAAGAAGAGGAGGAGGAGGAGCAGCAGCAGCAGCAGAGAGCAGGCAGCAGGAGAAGATCTTCATTGCCGCCGTCGCCGTCGCCGTCGCCGTCACGGGGCCTGGGTGCCCTCGCGGGCCAGCACGCGGCCGTTGGACCTGGAGGCGTCGGTCCTTGATGACAGGCGAGGCCCGCCCCCCTGCTGCCCGAAGCCGGCGCCGTCCCAGCGCTCCTTGCGGCGGCGGCGGCGCGCCGTCGTCGTAGTTCGCCGTCGGTTATCGTCGTCCTCGACCTCGTCCTCGTCCTCGTCCTCCTCCTCCTCCCTGCTCCTACTTCCTCCTCCTCCTCCTTCTCCTCCTACTCCTCCACCTCCTCCTCCTCCTCCTCCTCCTCCTCCTCCTCCTCCTCCTCCCTCCTCCTCCTCCTCTCCTCCTCCTCCTCCTCCTCCTCCTCCCCTCCTCCTCCTTCCCTCCTCCTCCTCCTCCTTACTCCTCCTCCTCCTCGCCCCTCCTCTCCTCCTCCCTCCCTCCCTCCCTCCCTCCCTCCCTCCCAGCCCAGCCCAGACCCCCGACGTCGTGATCGCTTCGCGGCGTCGACCCCCAGGGGCCAGCCACGCGCTTCTCAGAGGCACCCCTGCTTCTCAGAGGGCGCGGGCCTTGTTTGTGGATACAGGGCCAGCGCCTTCTAGGAAGCGGGCGTGCTTCGAAGGATTGCAAAAAAACCCTTCGTTCGAAGGATTGCAAAAAAACCCTTTGAACGAAGGATTGCAAAAAAAAACTTTGAACGAAGGATTGCGGGTTTTTTGCAATCCTTCGTTCGAAGCGGGCGTGCTTCTAGGAGGGCCCCCCCTCCCCACACCCCCTTCGTGCGCGCCGCCATCGGAGGTCTGGACCCCTTCTCCGGGACCGCCCTTTGCCTCCCGAGTCGTCTTCTGACGCTCCCGGGGCCCGCCATCGGAGGCCCCCGGAGGCCGAAAGAGCAGCGCAGAGCCTCCCGTCGCGATTTTTGCTCACAGCGCGAGGGGGTCTGGGAACCCAGACCCCCTCGAGTTATGAAAAAATCACGACGGGAGGTTTTTCCTTCTTTTTGGCCTTTGGGGGCCCTTACCGGCCCTCGGGACCGTCAAAAAACGACTCAGGACGAAAAGCCGGTCCCAGGGAATGGGTCGAGACCTCGGGGGGTCGACGTCATGAAAAAATCATGACGTCGGTGGTCTGGGAACGGCGGGGCCCTCTCCGCGGAACGACGCCCCGGTATGGCCACGCGCACCGTCTGCGGCCACGCTGCCACAGACAGGGCCTCGACCAGCGCGCGGGCCCCCCTGGAGGGCTCCGAGCCCTCCCCGTGGGCAACTCTTTTTCGGGGTGGGGGGGATTGGCGTGGGCTCGGCTTCGGTGCTGGGTGCGAGGGGAAAAGAAAATGAAGAGCGGTTAAGCTTAGGTCGGGCATGTATGTACTCCTACAGGTGGATTTTGGAAGAAGAGTGCAAAATGGCCAGAAGGTACTCAACAGGAATCGAGAGTAGTCGAAAAATCGCCCCCAGACTATTCTGGGGGCTATGTTTGCATTTTCCTCCTGTGGAGGGACATGCCCGACTTACGGTGAAGCTCCTCTGACAACTTGGCGACGCCTCAGGGCGAAGTCAGGGTAAGGTTTGGTCGGACATGTCCCCCTACAGGGGGAATTGTGGCCGAAAAAACTAAAAATACCAACAACAAAAAATACCCCCAAACAGAAAAATCAAAAATAGTGAAAAACATCGTCGTCAGACTATGTTTTTCCTATGTTTGCATTTTCCTCCAGTAGAGGGACATGCCCGACTTGAGGTTAAGCTCCACTGACAGCTTGGCGACTTAAGGTTAAGCTCCACTGGGTATGGTCAAAAAGCAGTTTTGGACGCCCGACATGGGCACGGAAAGAATGGGTACAATGCCCAACAACAAATGCTGTCCCAAACCAACAGCGGCCGCTGTTGGGCAGGCGGCCTCCCGTCTCAAATGGACACGGGCCGCGGCGGCGCGGACAGCGACTCCTGCTGAAGATGAACCGGAACTGCTGTTGGGCGTTGTACCCATTCTTTCCGTACCCATTCCGTTCGTGCCGAAAGAGGAGGAGGAGCAGGAGGAGGAGGAGGGAGGAGGGAGGAGGGAGGAGGGAGGAGGGAGGAGAGAGGAGAGGAGGAGGAGGAGAGGAGGAGGAGGAGGAGGAGGAGGAGGAGGAGGAGGAGGAGGAGGAGGAGGAGGAGGAGGAGGAGGAGGGAGGAGGAGGAGGAGGAGGAGGAGGAGGAGGACCAGTGTAAGACCATCTCGCTCGTGCAGAGCACTGGCGCTCTCCCCGTGGGGCAGCCGTCCGCCCCGAGGGCCGCAGGCCAGCCCCCCCCCCCGGCGGGCTCGGTCTTCGCACCTGGACCTCCGCTCGCCCGCGGCGCTCTCTTGCGGTCGGGTCGGGCCCGTCCCCCTGCAGGCGGACGTGACGGGGCCCCAGGACACACAGATAAATATACGGCAGGTTCGTGTCGTGCCGACCCCAGCGTTGGTTTTTGACACCGCAGGGATCGTTCAACCTTGAACGATCGGCCGCTGCCGCAACGTCCGATCGTTCAACATCGATCGATTCCGGGTCGCCGGCGGCGTTCAACCTTGAACGCCCGCGCTGGGGTCGCCGCTGGTCGACACGACGCAAACCTACCGTACACTTCCCCATATGTTTTTGCTATCTTTAAAGTTTCCAGCTGCAGAGGGACATGCCCGACTTGAGGTCAAGCTCCACTGACGACTTGGCGACTTCAGGTCAAGCTCCAGTGGGCAGGGTCAAAAAGCAGTGGCGCTCTCCCCGTGGACAGCCGTCCGTTCGGGAGCGGCCAAGAGGGGGGTGTCCAAGAGGGGGGGGTGCAAATCGTGACTGGCGGCATGTGCGCGGCCCAGCGGGGGGGCCAGGGACGTAATGAAACAAGAAGAGGCGCCATGAAATCTGGGGAAATATCATGGCCCGCGCCATGATATCCACCCCCCCCTAGTCATCACCCCCCTCTTTCAAAGAGGGGGCGGCAAAGAGGCTCTTTGCCGCCCCCGATACAGGCGGATTGTGGACGAGAAATGAAAAATACCCAAAACCAAAACGGTCAAAAAATACTATAAAAACATCGTCCCCAGATTATTGTTTGTTGGACTACTTTTGCTTATTCCTTCTGTAGAGGGACAGGCCCGACTGAACTCTTGCCTCTGCCACCTCCCCCCCCCGCGCGCAGGGTCCCGTCGCCGTCGTCGCCGCTTGCCGTCATCGCTGGCCGTCCGTCGTCAGCCGTCGCCCGCCGTCGCCGTCGCCGTTCGTCGTCGCCGTCGCCGTTCGTCGTCGCCGTCGCCGTCGACTGTTCGCCGTCGTTGCGATGTCGCTCGTCGTCGTCCACCGTCGCCGCTCGCCGCCGCCGCCGCCGTATCCTCGGGCGGAAGGGCGCCCCCCTTGGGCCACCGCCGCCGCCGCGGCCGCCGCCAACGCTCCCGGGGGGGACGAAGAGGCCACCAGATGCCGCAACTCCCCGGACCTTCCGCGGGGTGCGCTCTGACCAGAATCTCTAGAGTCATGCTGCTCTCAAGGACACTTACGGACCACATCCCAGAAATAATTTCGAGCAAAACAGTGTCGAACGAGTGTCTGCCAGGGCCCGAAACGTGAAAGCCCTCAAGTTTCGGTACTTCCTTGGTGCTCGAAATTCTTTCTGGCAATCAAGGCTAAAGTAGGTTGGAACATCATAACTCTAGAGACCTCCTGGATGGGGAGATGGGGCCAGAGGATCGCGCCGTATCGCCGACGCATCGCCTGTGCATCGCCAACGCATCACCGATACACCGCCGATGCACCGGCGATGCGCCGGCGACGTCGGCGATGCGTCGGCGACGTCGGTGTGGAGCATATCGGCCTCCACACCGAGCCGCATCGCCGATGCATCGGCGATACGGAGCGACCCTCCGACCCCATCTGCTTCGACCCCATTGGGGCGGCCTGGAACCTCGAGAAGCACCAGGTGGGTGGCGACGAGGGCCCTCCTGGACGAGCAGCTGTATCGGTCTTGCTCTCTCCCCTGAGTCCGTTGCTCCTCGCTCGTCGCTCTGGCACTGGAGGAACGGGTCCCGAGGGAAACGGGTCCTGGACCCCGGGGCCTTCCCCCAGAACGAGGTCTTCATCCCGAGTCGCTCTCTGACAGCCCCAGGGCCCGTGGAGAGAGAGTCCTGCGAGCCCGACGACGGCGGACAGCCTCAGGACCCGCTCCCTTCGGGACCCGCTCGCTTCCTGGGCCGCCGGGTCATCGGGCCACACCTCGGACCTCCGGCGGCCGCTCGGGACGCCGATCGGGCAGCCCTGGAACGCCCTGGGCGAGGCGCGGCTGCGGGAGAGCCTCCCGAGGCCAGGAGGCCTTCAGAAACCCACGACAGCATCGGCATTGGAACCAGGACCCGCTTCCCTCGGGACCCGCCTCCCCATGGCTCTGGACGTCCGAAGTGGGTACGGAAAAAGTTGGCACAATGCCCAGCAGCAAATGCTTGTCCCAAACCAACACTGGCCGCTGTTGGGCAGGCGGCCTGCTGTCTCGAATGGACACGGGCCGCGGCGGCGCGGATAGCGAGTCCTGCTCAACATGAACAGGCTGAGAATTGTAACCATTCTCTCCGCATGTCAAGTTCGTGCCGTGTCGACTTCGGCGTTGGTTTCTGACACCGCGGGGATTGTTCCACTTTGCACGATCGGCACTTCCCGAAACGTCGAAATTCGTTCCGCATCGAACAATTCTGGATCGCCCGCGGCGTTCAACGTTGAACGCCGCTGGCGGGGTCGCCGCCGGTCGACACGACATGAGCCTACCGTACCCATCCCCAGACATGCGACATCCTGATTTTTTCAGGACTGCGTCCCAGGAAGTCCAAACCCTTTCCCCGGGGCCGGTTTTTCATCCTGAGTCGTTTTGTTGACGGTCCTGGGGCCCGGCGAGGGCCTCTAGAGGTCGAAAATAACGAAGAACCTCCCGTCCTGTTTTTTACGACGCCGTCATGTCTGGGTCTCGATCGTCCCGAATCGCCAGGCGTCGCCGCTAGTCGCCGCCGCCGCCGGCCGCCGTCGCCGCCGCGTGCCCTCGCCGTCGCGGGGCGGCCTGCAGCGCCGCTGGGTCCGGGAACCCCCTCGCGCCGCCACCCCCGTGGCCCAGCCCGCGGGCCGGCTGGCACAAGTAGGAGTCCTGGCAGGAGTCCTGGGCGGGAGGCCCGGCGGGCTCCTCCGCCTCCTCCATCCTCCGCCTCCTCCTCCTCCTCCTCCTCCTCCTCCTCCTCCTCCTCCTCCTCCTTCCTCCCTCCTCCTCCTCCTCCTCTCCTCGCTCCTCCTCCTCCTCCTCCCACCTCACTCATCTCGCTCCTCCCTACCTCCTCCTCCTCTCCTCCTGCTCCTCTTCCTCCTCCTCCTCCTCCTCCTCCTCCTCCTCCTCCAGAATGGTAGGATTCCAGAATGGAATAGATCTACAACAACTTCATGAAATGGAGGACGGGCTGTTTTCAAAATGCAGCTCTCGCCTGAGCGCGCTCGAGGACGAGCCGGCGCGTGCTCGCCCTCCTCCCGTGCCCGCCATGATGCCTCTCCCGCCGCGGTGAGGAATGCGGTGCCTCGAAGGATGGAGCCAATAGTCCACCACCACTGCCATAGGTACGAGGGTCTCCTCCTCCTCCTCCTCCTCCTCCTCCTCCTCCTTCCTCCTCCTCCTCCTCCTCATCATCCCTCCCCTCCTCCTCCTCCTCCTCCTCCTCGCTCCTCCTCCCTCCTCCTCTCTCCTCTCCTCCTCCTCCTCCCTCCTCCTCCTCTCCTCCTCCTCTCCTCCTCCTCCTCCTCCTCCTCCTCCTCCTCCTCCTCCTCCTGCCTACCCTCCTCCTCCTCCTCCTCCTCCTCCTCCTCCTCCTCCTCCTCCTCCTTCCCTCCTCCTCCTCCTCCTCCTCCTCCTCCTCCTCCTCTCCTCCCTCCTCCTCCTCACTCCTCCTCTCCTCCTCCTCCTCCTCCTCCTCCTCCTCGCTCTCCTCCTCCTCCTCTCCTCCTGCCTCCTCCTCCTCCTCCTCTCCTCCTCCTCCTCATCCTCCTCCTCCTCCTCCTCACTCCTCCTCCTCCTCCTCCTCCTCCTCCTCCTCCTCTCTCCTCCTCCTCCTCCTCCTTCCTCCTCCTCCTCCTCCTCCTCCTCCCCTCCATCCTCCTCCTCCCTCCTCCTCCTCCTCCTCTCCTCCTCCTCCATCCTCCTCCTCCTCCTCCTCCTCCTCCTCCTCCTCCTCTCCTCCTCCTCCTCCTCCTCCTCCTCCTCCTCCTCCTCCTCCCCTCCTCCTCCTCCCCTCCTCCTCCTCCTCCTCCTCCTCCTCCTCCTCCTCCTCCGCCCTCCTCCTCCCTCCCCACCTCCCCATCCATTTCCTCCTCCTCCTCCTCCTCCTCTTCTTCCTCCTCGTCGTCCTCCCCCTCCTCCATTCCTTCTCCTTATGAGGAACTTCTCCCTGTCGCACACCGAAGCCCGTTTTTAGGGCGGGCCGGGCGTTTCGCCTTAGAGATCCTCACCACGTATGACTCTGAAACTTAAAAAGTGGCAACAGCTTCACAGATGGAGGGAGGGGGGTTTTCAAAATGTGGCTCTCGCCTTAGCGCCGCGCACATTCGATTTAAAATTTGCCAGAGTTTCACGAATTGAGGGCGGGTGGTTTTCAAAATGTGGCTCTCGCCCTAGCGCCGCGCACACCCGTTTTGAACATATGCCAGAGTTTCGCGGGTTCCCATGATCAGCGTAACAGAAATGGTGTTTTGTGGGGATTCAGGATTACGCGGGTCAACAATTATGTTAATTCGCGGTGCTGAAATCCTTAAATTGGCGTCCTGGCACGATTCAGGATCGTCAAGACGCAGCAGTCAAGTTGATCCGTGGCGTTGATGTCCCGAGGACGATGTTTTGGCATGCTTCAGGATCTTCAAACGGTTGTCTTCCAACGAGGCAGTGCCCTCAATGGAAATGAACTGTTGCAGGGGCCTATGAGGAGGGAGATTGGAGGCAGGGTTTATTCCAACGTCGTTGATGACCCTGGGGTTTACACTGGTCCTCCTCCTCCTCCTACTCCTCCTCCTCCTTCTCCTCCTCCTCCTCCTCCTCCTCCTCCTCCGCCTCCTCCTCCTCCTCCTCCTCCTCCTCCTCCTCCTCCTCCGCCGTCTTTCATCATCATCCTCCTCCTCCTCCTCCGACCCCCCTTCGTTTTCCTGACGGGGGTCGCTGACTCCGGCCTCAACATGGGGTAGAGTTCGATGTTCGCTTGCTGAGGAAATGCTCAGCAGCGTGGACACTAAACAGTGTGTTTCTGACAACCTATGTTGTGCATTTTATATGGCGCAACCCATGAGGCGTAACCAATGTGGCACAATATACATGTACATACACACACATGTATATATATACACATACATATATATATATATATATATATATATATATATATATATTCACACACACAAGTGGTGCAAACTACGTGGCGCAATGTCTGTTGTGCAGTCCATGTGGCGCATTAGACGTGCTGCTGTCTAGGTGGTGCAATATAAGTAGTGCGATCTAGGTTGCGCAATCTATGTGGTTCAATATGTGTTGCCCTGTCTGTGTGGTGCACTGTATGTTGTGCAGATTACGCGATGCACATATATGGCTGTGCAATCTACGTGGTGCACTATATGTTTTGACCGATCTTCAAGCGCGCCGCAAGCGCGTTTTCGTGCAACCTACGTGGTGCAATCCAACGGAGCAACCTACGTGGTGCAATCCAACGGCGGCGACGAGGTGGCGACGAGGCGGCAACGAGGCGGCGACGAGGCGGCGACGGCGACAGCACAGCCGCCGAACCAGCCACAACGGTCCAGACGACGGGCGTCGACGAGGCGGCGACGGGGCGGCGACGGCGACAACATTGTCGCCAGGCCGGCTACCTGGCCCAGTTCTTTGGAGACAAAGTAAGAACATCTGACTGAAAACGCGATTTGGGAAATATACGTTGTGAAGTATACGTAGTTCAATAGTTGTTGTGGAATGTACGCGGTGCAATATACGTTGTGCATTCTATGTGGTGCACTTGACTTGGACAAACGAGCTGACACATTCCATGCTCTTGCAAACATCCCACCCACTCACCCGCAACTTGGTTTGCAAAACCCATGCGACGGCGATTGCGGTGCATGCGTGGCGTTGGCTGGTGCGTCTTTGCGGCCGCGCCAACCCAAGCACGCGCGCGCAGCTGCTAGCTAGCTTGGCGCGACCGACGCGGCCGCGGTGGCGCTGACCGATGGGCACGTCCCAGCGGGCACTTCACTGCAAGTCGCCGAGTAGGGCGCGCGAGGTATCATCGCGACGTCGAAAACGGCAGGCACGATGATGATAGTAGCGATGCTGGTGGCGAAGTTGACAACGACGACGGCGCGGCCAGTGCGGGCGCCGATGCTGGTCACGCCGACGACGGTGACGACGGCCTCGCGTCGGCGATGAAGGTTTCGGAAACAGTTCGACATGCGCGCGCGGCCGACGCGCGAGAGTGGCCAGCATGGTGTTATTTGACACGGATCGCGCCCCCCCAGCACGCGCGCAAGGGCGTGCGAATGATGTCGGCATGCGGCGCCAGAGGCCCGCTTGGCAGGATTCCATGATTTTTTTAATATATATATATATATATATATATAGAAATAAATAAATTAACATATATGTATGTAGTGTTTGAATAACAAAAAAAAAGGTGGTTTCTTTAAGAATCCGCAAGAACGCGAGGAACGCGCCTTTTTTGGGAAAAGCCGGTATTGCAAAACCATGTGGTTGTTTATATGGTTTGTCGGACGGTCGGTTTTAAAATCGCTACGAAACCGAAAGTTGTTGACGGACTTCGGCATGCGCGCGCGACGACGCGCGCGCACGTCGTCCTATTTGTTGCAAGAGATTATCGCGACAGCACGCGCGCATGGGCGTTCGAACGATTTCGGTATGCGCGCGCGAAGCCCGTTTGGCAGAATTTTCGAAAATGTTGAGTAGCCTATGGTTTTCTTGAGAATTCGCAGGAGCGCGCGCAAACTTTTGTTTTGAGAATCCATGCTGAAAAACCCGTTGGTTTTTACGTGATGTTGGACACTCGCTTTTGACATCCTTACAAAAACAAACATTGTCTGAAGGACTTCGGCACGCGCGCGACGACGCGCGCGAGGGCACTTCGCCCTATTTGTTGCAAGGGATTCCTGAAACTGAAAACTTTTTGGGAAACGAGTGAGCGCGCATCGTATGTTTGAAGAAAGCGGCTGGGGGGTCGAGTACCACCTCGGCTGGGATGGTACGAGTTCAGATTCAGGATGGACGATGGGGCAGAATCATATGTAAACTGCAATAGGGGAGAGGTCATTTTCTTGTTAAAAGGAGCATATATATATATATAAATGTATTTAAGTATATATATATATATATGGTTGTGCAGCCTACGTGGTGCAATATGCTGCAATATATGTGGTGCAAACTATGCTTTGACCGATCGACAGCGCGCCGCCTTTTTTTGTTGCGCAATCTACGTGACGCAATCCAGCGGCGGCGACGAAGCGGCGACGAGCCGTCAACTGGGCGTTCACGGCGACAATATAACCGCCAAACCGGCCACAAGCCCCAGACGACGAGCGGCGACAGGGCGGCGACGGGGCGGCCACGGCGACACCATTGCCACCACACTGGCCACACGGCCCCGTTCCTTAGAGCAGAAATAAAATTTGAGGAGACGCACGAACCCTTAAGTGCAAGCAAAGATGGGGGAATATATGTTGTACAGTATACGTAATCAAACATACGTGGTGCAATATATGTGACTGTCAAATATCTGTGGCGACATCCGTTTTGGAAAACATGGGGCTGTCAACTTCACTGATCGCGCAATCTTCCCACCCACCCACCCGCAACTTGGTTCGCAGAGCACATGCGGCAGCGACTGCGCTGACTGCTTGGAGTTGGCTGGTGCATCTCTGCGGCCGCGCTAGCCCGCGCATGCTCGCGCGCACAGCGGCCAGCAAATTTGGCGCGACCGACGCAGCCGCGGTGGCGATGACCGCTGGGCACGTCCCAGCGGGCACTTCAGTCCGTGATTTGGGTGGGCGCGGTACCGCGGCGACGTCGACAACGGCAGGCACGATGATGATAGTAGCGATGATGTGACGACGGCAAGGCCAATAACAGCGCCG